AACGCGGCCGGACAGTTTGAAACCGAATAACCTCACTAATAGGGGCTATTGTTCGGCGTGGAAGTTCCTATTTTCCAATCAGGAAAATACAGTCCTTTCTGGGCTCCGGCCGACTGATCCTTTCCCACCTACGGCTCCACAATCTGCCACCAGCGAGGGGCTTTTATTGACCTCCCTTCCCAGGAAATGTTAGGCAACTTCTGAGCAAAGCAGGGCAGCAGGAGTGGGCCGCCGAGGGGCAGCCCCTGCGAAGCCACAGGTCCGCGAAGCGGCCAGGTTTCCTTCCAAACTTGAAACCCGAGAGAAGCCAGGACCACCGCCACCCCACGCCCTTCCTTCCCTCCACCCTGGCCCCCCTCCTACCCAGCCTGGCTCAGCTCCTGCTCTCCGCAGTTGCGGGCTGCGCTCAGCTCCCTAACCTGCGCGCGTTCTGAAGCTTTATTTGGCTTCCAGCACCAGGGCGCACCCCGGCAAAGGCTTGGTAGGGGCATCTTTTCCTGGGGTAGGAGGCGTCCACGCCGCCTGGTCTTGGCCCCTGGGCCGCAGCCGCCGCTCGGGGTGGCGGGGCCGGCAGGTCTCTGTCGGCGACACACTCAGAACCCGGGCTGCTGCGACCCAGCCGCGGGACGCGCCACAGCGGGTGTGTGTGCGCGTGTGTGTGTGTGTGTGTGTGTGTGTGTTTACCTTTCCCTCCGTTAAAACTTTTCTTTATTATTATTATTTTCCTTTTAGCGCGGGGGTCTATACTTGGCCAATCACCCTTAACCCGTTCCAAACTGTGTTTGTTGTAGGTACGTTACCGGCCACTTAAAAGCCTAGGTAACTTTGATGTTTCTACTATAAATCCCTAATTGTACTTAATGGTTACAAATGGCTTTATTTACTTGCCGCTGTCTCTACACATTTTAATCTATTAACCAAACAGCAAAGGCATATTTCACTCCCCCACATGCCCCCGCCCCACAACTAAAAAAAAAAAAAGCAGGGATGGAGGACCCCCAAGTGCTTGTAGGAACCTTCTAGTCTTCTATGGCTGTGAACAGATCGGAGGCTGCAGGCGCCAGCGTGGATCCGTGCTCACCCCGCCTGTGAAGCCGCTCCCCTTCCCCAGTCCGTCTAGGAGATGTTGATGTATATTGTAGCTGCAAGGTGTTAGATATACTCGAGCAAGTTGTTCCCAGGATGTAAATTAGGTCCCCAAAGCTGTTGTCCAAATCGAAGAAACAGAGAAATTAATCTGGGAGACTATCCATCATCACCAGTAATAAAGAGAGCGACACGGATGAGACAGATGATATGATTAAGGGGCTGTGGTCGTTTTAATTAACTTTTTGCTGTCCTGTAATGATCAAACTGGTCACCAGACCCGGTCAATAAGCATGTTAATATCAAACAAATAAAACCAGGGATGATTAAAAACCTCCTGGTTTATTAAATTTGAAATTCAAATGAAATTTATGCTGCAGATGCATACAGAATGCTAATAGATTTTTTAGCTTTATTGATAGCAGATCCCACAGGTTTGCAAGAAACAGCACAATATCCATCTATCCCTCCACCTCCATCCCCTTCTGCCTGCCAGCACGGGGAAACTTCGAGCTGGGGAAAACTTTAAATGATGTGTGGAAGCCAGGACTTCTTCCCTTCCCTAGATCTCCATGATCTGACATCTCCAGCGAGGACCAACCTCACTGTGCTCGGTGCCCCCCCCCCGAAACCGGGCCTGGCCAGCCCCCTGGGGTCCCTTCTCCCACGTGGAGAGCCAGCTACCCTCAAGGTCCATTTGAAAACTGGAAACAAGACGTGTGGCTCTAACCTTTCTGGCCAATCATACAGAATGCTCTTTGTTGCAAGGACACAAATACTAACCACTTCAGGTGGGGAGTGGTGGATGAGCTGTTTAAGATAAGATACCCCTGGCCAAACGCTACCATGAAATAAGCACCTCTTCCTCTCTTTTCTTATACTCCTGTGTGCTTATATAGCTCTGCACAAAGTCACATTCAGGGACTTGGTGAGGATCTTCAGCTGCTGCAAGTGACGAGGATGAGGTTGAAGTACCGAATCTTTTCATCAAATCCACACCGACATTGTGACTTCCTGTCACAGACAGAATGACATAGGAAGCTGAAGTGAGTTTATACAAACGGAAAAAAAAATCTTAGAGTTAAGTAGTTTCAAAATTACCACTATAGGGTATTGGGTTTTTTTTAAATTCTCGGCTTTTTTTTTTTTTTTAAGAATCACTGGTTAACGCCTCTGTTTGCTCTCAGAATCAGCACTTAACTTTTAAATAGTCCTGCCTCCCTCCCTGCCGAAAGATTAAAAAAAAAAGGATTAAAAAATAACTATTCATAAGAGGGAGTCTCCCCCACCCCCATTTCTGGTTGGGAGGTGGCATCGACTAAAATTAAACCCCAAATTTGAACAGTATGTTAGGTCCTTTAAATGAATATCATTATAGAAGAAGACCAAAGCAATGAAGTTAATTCTCCTTTATTTGTTCAACGGAGTTCCCTCCTTCCCCACCCCTTCCTCCTTCTGGGCTGGCCTGTCACGCCTTCTCAACACGCTGAAATCATTCAGAGCTGCACAGGGAGAGCGCGGGATAGGATGGTGAGCGTCAGGCTTCAGAGAAAGCAAGCAGTTCATTAATTTACTTCACACCTACTTCCAAGCACCACGGCGTACCTTACCCCCCAATCAATAGATATGATGTACTGTCAATATCCCCACAGGCTCAAAGCGGGTCAGAAACGCACAGCCTCACCCCGCCCCCAGAGCAGCCCGCACCAGCAGCTGCAAGAAATTCGCACGAGCTCCTGGCGCTCCAACTTGGAGCTCAGGGAACTCCAGGAGGTTTTATTTTTCCGGACATTTCTAGGCGCTACGAGCCACTCAAAGTCAGGGATACAGGACAGATCTCTCCGAGCTCGACACGTTCTAACCAACTTACAGCTAGACTCTTGAGAGCATTTGTAACTGCTGGAAACATAGGAATTACTGGCTTTTAGAAAGCTGTATGAATATTCAACAGGGATCTGATTTTGTGTGTGTGTGTGTGTGTGTGTGTGTGTGTGTGTGTGGCTACATTGTGCTTCCTGTTAGTTAAGAAGTTTCCTTGTGGTGGCAGTGCCATTGTAATGCCATTTCTGAAGGCAACAAACTAAACAAACGGCCTACAAGTGACTAACATCCACCCACTCAAACTACTGGTTCCTGTGCGCACTCACACACACTCGGGCATCCTCACGCACTGGACCCATCGGCGCCTGGACTCAAAGATTTGTCAAACAGCTTCTCTACACGAATAGAACACACAACTTTCCATCAAAGCCCGACTCTTATTTTTTTCCCCCCTCAAAAAGCAGCAGAGGGATCCCTGAGACAACGTCTTCATTCTCTTGGTGGTGGAACTGGTCCCCAATTTCCCACCCAAAGGGGGGGGGGGGACACAGCCACCAGTTCTTATTCCTCTGATCCTTTTGTATTGAAATTTACCCAAGGGACAAGCACACCTCTTCCCCAGAGCGTCTCTGAAACGTGGAGAGGGAGGCGACCACAGGGAGCCTCAACGCTCGGGCGCAGGCGCACTCACACCCCGCCGCACCCCTAAAAACACTCGGGTCTTTTGGCTCTGAGCTTGGAGAGCCCGGAACGAAAAGACGGGCACGAGTTTCGAAAGAGAGAGAGAGAGAGACAGAGAGAGAAGGAAGAAAGAAAGAAAAAGAAAAAAGTATTGATAGTGTTGAGGGGGGAGCACCCTGCAATCTCAAGATTTTAGGCGCAGGGAGTTAGGGGAAACTGCAAAGATTGGTAGCGTTTGTGACTGTTTATTTACTCAGCCTCGCTCAACTTTCCGGCTTCTCACTCTTCAATCACCCTGGCGAGCCTTTACAGCCCGGGTGAAAATGCCATTCGTCCCCCACCCACACACTCGGTCACTCCCAGAGCTTTGCACACACACACACCCCAACTTCTGCGCATGCACACGCACAAGGACACACACCCCTTCCCCTTCCGTCTGCACAAGCTCCTAAACTCAAACCAGCCTGGCGCACGCACGCACACCCGCCCGCTGAGCTTTGCACACACCTTTCCATTCGGTCTACACAAGCTCCTAACTCAGGTTCGTCCTTTGCGCCTTGCACACACACACACCCAACTTCGGCGCGTGCACACACACTCTCCTTGCCTTCCTGTGGTACTATTCACACCGAGCTTTGGCCCGCGCGAGCACAAGCGCGCGCGCACACACACACACACCTTCCGTCTGTACAAGCGCCTAAACTCACACCCAGCTTCGCGGCCACGCGCACACGTACGTACACGAACACACATTTTGCCGCTGCGCACACCCAGTCATGCACTCAGCTTTGGAGCACGCGCGCGCACACACACACTCACACACACAGCTTTTCCCACAAACACACAAACAACCTTTTCACACCATCTGCCTGGCTGACAACAAACACCCTTCCCTCTTCTTCCTCTCCTGCCTCCCGCCGCGTCCCTGCCGCTGCCTGCTTCCCTCCCCAGGTTGGCTCGACCTGGGGACCCCGGAGGGCGCGCACGATCCTGCCGTTCCACCCCGCTCCCCGCCGCGCTCACACCCTCCCGGCTCCCTTCTCCACGCTGCCCTGACCAGGCCGGCTGCTCCCACCGTCGCGCGCGCCCACCCGAGGCCCACGCGCGCGCGCGCCCGGGGCCCACGCGCGCGCGCGCCCGGGGCCCACGCGCGGCCTCGCCCCTCCCCCCGCGCGGCTGGCCGCGGCCGCGGTGGCGGCGATGACCTCACGGCGCGCGCGCGGCGCGGCCCGGCGAGCCCGGCGATTGGCTGGCGGCGCCTCCGCGGCACTTCAAAGCCGGAGAGGGAGCTACAATTGTGGTGGAATGGGCGGAACTGATCATTGTATTGCACACCTCTAAAAAAAACACTGCCTCTGATTTATCAATATAAAAAAGATCCTCTGAGAGGAGGCGGAGGGCGCTTGTGTGTGATGGCAACTTCACTTCTCGGGGTGAGTCTCGGGATTTCTCTCTTGGCCGCTTGAATTATTTTTCTTTTTATGGCCGAGCCGAGGGGGTTCCAGTCACCCGGCCAGGCCACGGGCTATCAGTCTCTCTATTGAGAGCTTTTTTTCCCCCTCCCCTTCCCCTTCTTTAAATACAAGGGAGTTTGGAAAAAAAGAAAGGGGGGGGGTGTGGGAGGGTGGGAGGGAGGCAGAGTTCCTCTTTTTCAGCGCAAGAAAAAGGTTCGAAGGGCAATTTTCGAAAAGCCACTTCGCCGCGCCCGCCGCGCCCGCCGCGCCGGGCCCTGGGGAACCTGCGCTTAGCCCACTCTGCACAAAATCATCATCATCATCAAATTTGGGGGAGGGGGTTACCGAAAGTGAGCTTTTCCTCCTGGGCACACCGCAGAGACTCCCCCCTCCCTTAAAAACCTCCCGCAGCTCGCCTGGTTCGGCAGGTATGTGAAATTCATCTCCACCCCCCCCCCCATAATCGTGGATATGCTTTTCCTTTAAAAATTTTTTTTTCCCACGTTTGAAACAAAAAAAAGGAAAACCAGGAGGAGCGAGCAAGCCCTTACAGGTGGCCCTGCTTAGGGGACCCTGGGGAACGCAATCCGAGTTTTTCAAAGCTCTTTTTCTCTCTGGATCTTAAAAAAGGCCCGCTCCTACCCAGGGCTCTGTCCTAACCCCAACCGCACCCACCCCTATGCTTCTCGGCCGGGGAAACTTCCTGGTTCCACAAGCCTTGAGCCTTTTTTTCCCCCCTCCCCTCCCCTGCTCTGGGTTTCCAACTTGTCTCTCTTGGGACTCGCGTGCTCTCGAGTGTGGACGTGGCTGAGAATCCGTGTCTCGAGCCTGGTGTGGCGCAGCGCCCAAACTTTGCAGAGTTTGGAAGCGACCGCGCGGGGAGCCAGGTATGTGAGCGGCGGGGCGGTGCGCTGCTGCCAGTCGGCTGGAGCGCGCCCCTTGCTTGGCTGGGCACTAACGCACTCACCTCTCCTCTTTTCCTTCTCTCCCCTCCCCCCGCGCCCCGCCGCGTCCCTCTCTCCTCCGCCCCGGCTCCTAGGAAGAACCGAGGTTGGGCTCCACTCCTCTGGCCATGCTCGCCGCGACCTGCAACAAGATCGGCAGCCCCAGCCCGTCCCCCTCCTCCCTGTCGGACAGCTCCTCGTCCTTCGGCAAAGGCTTCCACCCCTGGAAACGCTCCTCCTCTTCGTCCTCGGGCAGCTGCAACGTGGTGGGCTCCAGCCTAGCCGGCTTCGGCGTGTCCGGCGCCTCCAGGGCCGGCGGCTCGTCCTCGGCAGCCGCGGCGGCCGCGGCAGCGGCGGCTGCAGCCGCGGCCCTGGTGTCCGACTCGTTCGGCTGCGGCGGCTCTCCGGGCTCCAGCGCCTTCTCGCTCACTTCCAGCAGCGCCGCGGCCGCCGCTGCCGCCGCCGCTGCCGCCGCCTCCAGCTCGCCGTTCGCCAACGACTACTCGGTGTTCCAGGCCCCCGGCGTGCCAGGGGGAAGCGGCGGCGGCGCCGGGGGAGGCGGCGGTGGAGGAGGGGGCGGCGGCGGCGGCGGCGGGGGAAGCTCGGCGGCGCACTCCCAGGACGGTTCGCACCAGCCTGTGTTCATCTCCAAGGTGCACGCGTCGGTGGACGGGCTGCAGGGCATCTACCCGCGCGTGGGCATGGCGCACCCGTATGAGTCGTGGTTCAAGCCTTCGCACCCGGGCCTGGGCGCTGCTGGCGACGTGGGCTCGGCCGGCGCCTCCAGCTGGTGGGACGTGGGCGCCGGCTGGATCGACGTGCAGAACCCCAACGGCGCGGCCGCTCTGCCCGGCACGTTGCACCCGGCCGCCGGGGGGCTCCAGACCTCGCTGCACTCGCCGCTCGGAGGCTACAACTCGGATTACTCGGGCTTGGGCCACTCGGCCTTCAGCAGCGGCGGCGCCGCCTCGCACCTGCTCAGCCCCGCCGGCCAGCATCTCATGGACGGCTTCAAACCCGTGCTGCCCGGCTCTTACCCGGACTCGGCCCCGTCGCCGCTGGCCGGCGCGGGCAGCTCCATGCTGAGCGCTGGGCCGCCGGCGCCACTCGGAGGCTCCCCGCGCTCCTCAGCGCGCCGCTACTCGGGCCGTGCCACCTGCGACTGCCCTAACTGCCAGGAGGCCGAACGCCTGGGCCCCGCCGGCGCCAGCCTGAGGCGCAAGGGTCTGCACAGCTGCCACATCCCGGGCTGCGGTAAGGTGTACGGCAAGACGTCGCACCTCAAGGCGCACCTACGCTGGCACACGGGTGAGCGGCCCTTCGTGTGCAACTGGCTCTTCTGCGGCAAGCGCTTCACGCGCTCCGACGAGCTGCAGCGGCACCTGCGGACCCACACCGGCGAGAAGCGCTTCGCCTGTCCCGTGTGCAACAAGCGCTTCATGCGCAGCGATCACCTCAGCAAGCACGTGAAGACGCACAGCGGCGGCGGTGGCGGCGGAGGCTCCGGGAGCTCGGGCGGCGGCGGCAAGAAGGGCAGCGACACCGACAGCGAGCACAGCACCGCGGGCAGCCCGCCCTGCCACTCTCCGGAGCTACTGCAGCCGCCGGAGCCAGGGCACCGCAACGGTGGTCTCGAGTGACGAGCGCGCACGCCTCTCCGCGCTGTGCGGTGCAGCACTAGTCCCTACTCCCCTCCACACCTGCTCCTGCCTGCCCGGGGTGCGCTGGGGACCCGTGAGTCTTGGTCTGGGCTCCAGCCTCTCTCCACTGCACCCCGCTCGCCCACTCTATCGGCTCCCGGTCCCTTTTGCTCCCGCTTCCCTTTCTGACGTAACAGTATAATGGGGAGATTCCCGTGTAAGTAGCCCGCCCGCTGCCCCTCGTGCCCACAAGTAGCATCGCTCGAGCCCGCGCCTCGCCGGCCCTGCAAAACGCCGGCTGTAATTTGGAGAGGGCGGTGGCGGCGGTCGCTGGAGGTTCAGCGGGAACCCAGCCCCCGGGGGGCATCCGCGGGGGCTTGAGCGAGCCGGGGCCAGCGCCTTGGTGGGGTTGGGTGAGCTGCCCCTCCAACTGCACCCGGACGTCCCCCCCGCTTTTTTTTCCCGACGAGGGGGGCTCCCTTCCTGGACTCTCGCTTTCTTTTTCCTTTGTTCCCTGTGGGGGAGTCCCGAGCAAGTTTCAGCAAAGTGCAGTCTTGCTGCTGCAGCTTTTTTTTTTTCCTTTGAACCTGATAACCTCTTTGTTTTTATCTTATAAAAAAAAAAAAGCTAAAGGGGAGCGGGGGTGGGGGGTGGGGGAAGGAAGCACCCTGTTGGCCTTTGGTTTTTCTTTTCTAGATAGTCTTTGCTTTAGCATAGCAAAGTCTTTGGAAACTGTGCTAACAGGGATCCCAAAGTTATTTTGATTGCATCAACTTGGGGGTGGGATAGGTGTCTTTTTCTTATGCAAAGCGACCCCTTCTGCCTTTCCGGCGAGACCAGATTAACTATCTCTGTGTTCCGTCCTTTTCTACCTCGTTTTTTCAACACTCTCCGGGCATAATTTCCCTATCTTTTTTTTTTTTTTTTGATTAGTCCAGCTGTCACTTTGTGTAGAACCCGTCTCTGTAAGTTGTTGCAATTCACGGAAGATCTTAGGGTTAAACTTTTCTTTTGAATTTAAACAACTGGAGAAGCTACCGTTTATTTCAGATGAGGCTATAGTTTAAATGCCCAAAGAGGGAAAACTAGGGGGAGGATAAAAAAAAAAAAAAACTTTGTAAAATATATCCAAACCTAATGGTTTGTACAACTGGAGAATCGTTCTAGATTAGTTTCCAATGGAACCTGACTCCCCCAGAGTAGGGGAGGGAGGTTGCCCCAGGAGATGATTTTGTATAGTATTTTTCTTGTATATTACTTCCAGTAAATATTTGAAAATATATTGAAGTAAGCTTGATTTTTTTTTTTTTTTGGTCACAAGAAAATATTAAGAGTTATAGTTGCAGTTCTGAGGAGCTGTGGGTGTTGTTGAACTCACTTCGGGAGGTGCGGAGTCACAGAGCACTTTCGGGGCCGAGTTTTGCTCGAATATGAACTTCGATAGGTACCCCACTGTAACTAAGACAATATTTGATACGTGTTGGATGACATTTAATTTCATGGAGCATGTTCTTTGCATTCGCTGGCAGTTCAGGCATAGTGGAAGTGAGAGTTCGCCTATATTTCCTAACTGGGTCCACCTAGACCCATGTCTTCAATAAATTGTCCAAGTGAAACTCGACTAACTTTGGCCTTTGTGTATTTCCTGAAGGTAATATTGTTAAATGTTAATGAACACTCCTGACGCTACATTGAAGGGTTTGCAGAGTCTGCAAACTAATTGCTCATTGTAATGCTGAAATAATTTTGGATATTTCACATTGAAATGAAAGCCTTTCTCTGGAACATTTTAGACTTGCATTTTAAATGCATGAAATGTAATTGATTTATTTGTAATATTTTAAATGGTATTAATAAACTCAGCTAAAAGACTAGGCCAGTTAACTTGTATTTTTTTCCCCCTTAAAAAAGATGGACATTTGCATTTTATCTTCAGTTAAATGTCTAATTTAAACATAATAGAGCCCTGTTTTGTGGTGATATTTAAATAACTGCCTTGAAGATATTACTTAGATGGAGAGATCTATTTGTCAAAGCTGTGCTTTCTCTCTCTACTCAGATAAGATTATACCGTCTAAGAGATGTAATTAATTATTGACCAGTAGGTTTAGGTTCATTGCATCTGGGTTTACTGACCTTCAAATTTGTGCTTAGTCACCAAACAATTCATACAAATGTCCTCATTCTATTTGCTGCCCAGTCTCCTGGAGGAGTCAGGTCCTTGGCCACCGGTTGCCTTCAGGATTGAGAACGGCCAAGCCTTGCTTTGGGAGATCAAGGAACCGAAAATAAAACCACAGCGTTTGGGGATAACATCTGTTGTTAGGAGACAGAAGGGGCCAAGGAACACACAGCTTGTTTTTGACATCCTGTGTCTTAGCTAAAGATTATGTAGAGGTAAATACCAGTCTTAGAATCTTGTTGAAACGAGTTAAAGTCGCTAAACAACCGCCAAAGAAAAGGAAGGTTAAACCTTAATCCATTTACTAGGATATTGTTCATAGGTGTCAATGATGCCAATAAAAAATACTGTCTTGTTATGTCTAAGTGCATTTAAGCGATGGGTGTTCTCGAGCCATACTTTGAAATATAAAGTACTTTAAATGTTGACAGATGTGATATCAAACTATTTCATTATTAGATTCCTATTATTTTGAATCAAATTGAATAAAAAGTTAGTGTGTTGAGATGCTCCTAAGTTTAGCTTCTTTTTTGCTGTTTGCCCTTTCTGCTCCTCAAGTGTAGTCTTGGTTTCCGTTTAAACTGCAACATTTTAAACTGCAACATTGGAACGGATGTCCGGTCGCTGTCATCCTGAGAAACAGACGGGGACATGGGAGGCTGTGTATATTGTAAATTCTGCTGAGAAACCCCAACTAGGGGTGCTGTACGCGGGAGAAGAACGCAGCTGGCGCCCCAGTCACCCAGCGCTTTGACCCTGCTGTCTATGCAGATAAGCTGAGGCCTCCTGAGGCTTTAGCCTAACTAGATAGCTTGGATTCTTTGGGATACTAGAACCCTCAGTTGTGTGGCTAAAAAAATAAAAGTCTTTCTCTGTCACTTTCTTCTAGGAATAACACGCAGAGACACAGTGTAAGTCTTGTTTCTTTTTTTTATTGAGAGTGGCAGTGCTGAGGGATTCGCAGAGCGGTTCCAAAGGAGTTAAAGGTAGTGGCAGGTAAGAGGGACCGCTGCTTGGTCCGCGCGTGGTCTCCCGTGCACCACCTGCAGAATCCACTCTTGGTCTGAGAGGTGGGGATAGGACTAGGAAGAGACCGGTCTGGAAGCTTGCGGGGTGGGGAGGGTGGTGTCCGAGGGGTTGTTTGTGTTGTATGGATGTGGACTTTCGCTTTCTGGCCTCCGCTGGCTCCTCCTCCAGCCTGGAGATTGTCTTAGCCGGTTACTGAGCAGTGTGCCTAGATGCGGTTCACGCGGGGCGGGCAGGGTTCCCCCTTGGGTGGCAAGAACGTTGTCTCCCGCGAGGCCGGCAGGAGGGAGACTGGGGTGATGGTTTTCTCCATGCTTGGGCAGTGAGAGAGCTCGCTCTGACGGAGCCAGATGCTGGGTATCCTGCTGAACTCAGGGACAAGCTCCCAGGCTTGCCCGTCGCCGTGGAGTGACAAGGAGTTGTTGACCTAGAGGTCAGGCCAGCGTGTAGCAGCCCACCCTCCAGACGGCGGGAAGGGGGCCGCTTCCTTCCGCGCCTCTTCTCCAAACTTGAGCAAAGGCTAAAGCTTGTTCCCTCTCTAGCTTCCTCCTGCACTGGCTCCAATCTCAATTTCTTTCTTCCTTTCTCCTCTCTCTCTCTCTGAATGTGGTTTCCTAAGGTTGGACTGTTAAGTGAAATACTGTTACAGAAAACTTCATTAACAAATGTGAGGAGTTAGTCACCCTCAGCCTCTCCACTCCCCATGATGGCGGGGACAGCCCTGAGCTAGCAAACTGCTGAGATTACAAATGAAAGCCAAGCAGATGGATAACCCCACCAGCAACCTGTTCCTCTCCCCCTCGGATCTCTGGGTGAATATTACGGAAGGCATGCGGAGGAATTTCTTTAAAACAACTCTTTTCTTGTAGAGGGTCGGCTGCAGGCAGGCCAGGTGATGGCATGGGCTGGTACATTAAGGCAGCCACCATTGGGGGAAGGAAGAGTTGCTTAAAAGATTAGAGACACGTCTGATAATGATGACATGTCTACCCCTTGCTTCCCGTTTTCACACAAAATAAGTTTCAAAGAGGACTTGACTTTGCTTGTCTTTGGGTTTAAAATATTTCTTTTCTTTTCTTTTCTTTTCTTTTCTTTCTTTCTTTCTTTCTTTCTTTCTTTCTTTCTTTCTTTCTTTCTTTCTTTCTTTCTTTCTTTCTTTCTTTCTTTCTTTCTTTCTTTCTTTCTTTCTTTCTTTCTTTCCTTTCCTTTCCTTTCCTTTCCTTTCCTTTCCTTTCCTTCTTTTTCTTTCTTTTTTTGGCCGCTTTGTTCATAAAGGCATTATCCCTCCGTAAGTAAAACACAGGTTTTTACCAGTCTCTCTGTAGTTGTCTGTCCTCTCTCTCTCGTTTCTTACAACAGCTCCAAGTAGACCTACTCCACTGCTGTGTTGGAAGAAATGGTGCCAGAGAACGAGAAGTGAGAAGATAGGGATGTGAACTTAAGGCTGGCGTCCTCTCTCCCCGTATTAATTGTTTCTAAGTTGCGTGCGCCCTCTGTGTTGCCCGCTGCTGTGCGGGCGCTGGAGACCCGCTCCGTGCGCTGGTTGCGCTGGGGAGGAGCTGGGAGGCAGAGGGGGGAGTGGGGAGAGATCTAGTTTCCGTGGTCCCTGGACGCGCGTTTAATTTAATTTAATTTTCCACCAAGTCTCCTGGCGGCGCAGAAGCAGGGTTGACCAGTTTGTGTTGGTTTCCTAGCAGTCAGGGACTCCTTCAGGGAACAACGCGAGGTGCGCTCTGTGTGTGTGTGTGTGTGTGTGTGTGTCGGGGGGGTGACCACGAGCCCAGGATTAAGG